ATTTTCTTGCGCTTCAACACCAGCCTTTACGTCAGCGCGTGTTCTCGTTCGATCCTGATCGCGCGCGCGCACAAATGCACGCTCACACGCCAGCGCACGCGTTGCACTGGGACAGCCTGGTTGCATCATATTCAAAGTCATTAAAAATCACTCCTGATAGTTGACGTGAAACTTTGAACACACTCGACCTCTGGTCCACCTGCTATACCGCTGGGCCAACTTTAATCTCTTTGGCTGCAATATTTCACCAAATTAAAGGACAGTTGTGCTCAAGTTCAATACAATTAATGCAAAATAATCACATGATGTTCAAATATTCATTACAAATCACCCTTGATAGTTGACATTAAACTTTCAAGAGATCTTTTCTCTTATCTGGGCCAAGCGTCGTCTCAAACTGCTTTCATGCTCCCAAGAAATCAAAGGACAAGTCTCCTGAAATTCAAAAGCTTCAAAGGAATGTGATGATGTCCTGTGAGAAATCTATTAAAATCATCTGTGATAGCTGACTATCACAGATTCCTTTTCTTGGACACCCACAGTAGTTTCATCAGTTTTTCACGCACAGTTTCATCTCAATCCACTGCATAATTCTGGGGAAATTAAAGGTCTTATATGGTCAAATTCAACCTGCTCAATCGATTATAACATCACATAAAGAATAATAAAAATCATCTGTGATTGTTGACATGAAAATGTCATTTGACTCGTCTTTGTTACCTTTTCTGCATGCGTGTCAACCTTCATCACAAAATGCTGCATGATTAGAAATTAAAGGACATTTCTACTCCCATTCAACAAGGTTATTTTAATAAACAAAACCTTACAAAAAAGTCATCTTGACATAGTTGATAGTTGACATGAAAGTCTCCACAAATGCATCATCTCTGCACTCACACGAAATATCTGTAAAGTTTTGGATCAACTACAGCTATATTTCTCTTTTTTGCCTTTACTGGACAGTGAAGTCAAGACAGACAGGTTCAAGGTTCAAGGTTCTTTATTTGTCACGTGCATAGTTATACAAGTATAACACACAGTGAAATGTTAAAAATGGGGGGGAGGTAGAGGAAGAACATTATATATATATATATATATATACATATATAGTATATACGTTGGGTGAATGTGCAGTAGTAGCAGCAAGCAGGTGAATTCTGTACATTAATA